ATAAAGTTGTCAAAACAATGTCCAACCTTATTATTTTAATAACATTAGTTGACAGCAAACCACATTGCTAGCAAAGAAGAACATGTAATGGAAAAAGAACGTACCATATAATAAAAATAAAGTCTTAAGTTATATTCAAAATTTACTACATACCTTTCAAGCTGTTAAATTAAAGACATAAGGCCCTGAGCCTAGTCAGGTTTGTCAGTTTGTTTAGGTATGTCGTTCCATGCCACTTGTTCTATCCCTAGCATAGTTCAAATAATAGGCCAATGAGCGAATTTCTTCGAAAAGACCAAAGATTAATATCATAACAATTAGCTTTAAGCATTATAATTTTAAGCAAACAAAAAGAGTCATACTCAACTAAAATAATTCAAAATAGCAAAACCCTATGTTATTAAAGTAACACCCAACAAAACCCCAACATCCAATTTCATAAAAAAAAATAAAAAATTATGAAATTAAACCCCAATCGCAATTAAAATAAACCTAACATTCAAGTTCATTTCCATAACTACTCTAATATTCAATCAAAATATCACAAACAACTATAACATTCAATCAAAACCTTACAATTATATTTCATGAAAATAACCCAAAATTGAAATGTGACAAACACGGTTTCATAAAAATCCCAAATTAAAAACCCTAGCATCAATTGCTCAAAACTTAACTACCAATTTGAAACTATAACATTCAATTTCCTACAAAACACCCAAGTTAACACCCAATTTGAAAAAAAATCAAATAAACAACTAAAGTAATTGATATGTTATTATAGGCAACCAAGCACACAACAAAACAATTCTTTTAAACAAATATAAAAAAAGGAGAGCTAATTTAATGAAGAATTTCAATTTTTTAATTTTGTTCAAACTATATAGTCCTCCATAGAAACATGCTCAAAAATAATATCAAGAAGAGACAACATTACCTTTGTCAAGATGGTGGTTCCTGCTGTCATTGCTCATCTTTTTCATTAGTTTCTATGCGCCAAACCTTTCAAAAGACAATGACATTAAAAAAAAGAAGAAGAATTACTACAAATGAAAAAACACGCAACATAACTTACTTTGGAGTAGGCCCTAAAAGAATAATCAAAACAAATATAAAATGTTCAAATTGTACAAACACACAACAAAAAAAATAAAAAAATAAAACATAATCTCAAGACTGAAAACAGGAAAATAAACTCGATAGATGAAAAATGACACTTAAAAACATGGACAGGAAATAAAAAATTAGAGAGATGAACAATTAGTGAAAAATCAAATAGATAGACAACTCCACCTCGTTGAAGCAATACAACAAACACTTGGTGTTCGAATTATCTTTTGCTTTGACATTATTGAGAGACAGAGTGAGCGTTACAGAGAATGGGGTGGCAGTCGATGGTGGTGGTCTAAATGGCTCTCTGAATATAGATAGTCAGTGAAAGAGGGTGGCGGTGAGTCTTTGAGAGAGAAGAAAATACATAGAGAGGAGGGTGGCAGTCGATAGTGGTGGTCTAAATGGTTCTCTAAAGATGGACAATTGGTGAGGGTGGTTGGCGGTAGGTCTTTGAGAGAAAAAAACAATAAATAGAGAGAAGGATAGAAGAGGGCAAACAGAGAGTGGGGCTGGATTGCTTGTAGGGGTTCAATATGTGAGTGTGTGTGTCGTGAGACAGAAAGAGGTGCGACGTGAGAGAGAGAGAAAGGGAGAGGTACCTGGGCGACATTTGCTGATTGAGCCATGGTAGAGGAGCGATTGGTGAGAGAGTGAGAGGGAATGAGATAAGTGTCTTTATCCGCAGAGGAGAGAGAGAGAGAGAGAGTTTGGCTTGAGTTGGAATGCTTGGGGGTGTCGTGTGTTTGCATCTAAAATGGGGGGGGGGGGAGATTTGGGTTTTGGATGGGATTGGGGAAGATTTTAGAGATTTTGGAGAAGAGAGAGAGAGAGACGTGAGTCAAGAAATGTTATTGGGAGGGAAAACAAAATTCAGTACTCATTATAGACCGTCGGATTAATATTTATGAAATGATCTGAACCGTTTTTTATGCTGAAATTACATCGTCCGTTATATGTGTTTATGTTTTGTTTCAAAACAATCTGGACTTTTATTTGTTTCTAAAATTCAAACTCAGTTCTATTTTATTATATATATATAACATTAAAAATAAAAAATAGTAACATTCAAATACAAAAAAATAGTATCATTTAAACACCAAAAAAAATATATATATATCATTTAAACACAAAATATAATATTATTCAAAAATAAAAAATAGTAATATTGTATATTAATATTTGAAAAAATAACAGTAGTAACATACTCAATAAAAAATAGTAACATTGAATATTGATATTTCATCAGAAAAATAGTAATATTAAATATTAACATTAAAAACAAAAAATAGTAACATTCAAACACAAAAAATAGTACAATTTAAATACAAAAAATAATACCATTTAAACACAAAAACATAAAAACATTCAAAAATAAAAAAATAGTAACATTTTATATTCATATTTAAAAAAAATAATAATATACTCAATAAAAAATATTAACATTGAATATTGATATTTTTGAAAAAATAGTAACATTCAATATTAACGGTAACATGATTATAAAAAAAATAGTAGTATGTTCAATAAACAATAGTAACATTAAAAGAGGTAGTAACATGCACAAGTACAACAAAACAGAAATAGTAACATGGAAAAAAAAATTGTATCAATACAATGTCGTATTCTTCATAAAAATATACAACCAATAAATCGAGACCTAACAAACAAAACAATACCAGCAACCTTAACAAACAACAATAGCAATATAATGCGCGACGATCCACGTATATGAATAGAAATAGATCCACTCTGTTCGGGGCCTTGATTGAATCCGAGTTAGTACACAATTCACTTGGCATTGCGACAAAATCTGAGGGCAATTTGGGTGGAATCAAAGCTCTGCTCACGGTGGGTGCATATTAATGGAATCAAGAGTTTTTTGGTGGTGAGTTTCAGCGGGAACATCTTCGTTCATGGTGGAGAAGAAAAACTCAGAATTGTTGGGAACAACTAAAATAATGTGGATCATAAATTTGAATTTTAAATTTTATGGTCAATCTTATGAGCACGAATTAAGAGTAGAATTAAGGGGTAAAGAATCTGAATATTTCCCAATTGAGCAATGCTACAAAACCCAAATGAAACCCAAAAAGTTGCAACCAAAATACATATTATCCCTTGAATGAATGAGTCCCATCAATTTTTTCAATGATGCTCACTTATCCCACACTCATCCAATGGATAAAATGCATTTGAGTTTTAATTTTTGGGTTTCATTTGGGTTATGAAACATTTTCCTTCCCGATTGGGAAATAGAATTAAGGTCTAATACTATTAAAATATTATAAGAAGGATATTTTGAAGTTTTAAAAAAATAGACTTATCACCAAATAAATTTTCTTAATGGACTCAAGTCAATATAAGCCCTTAAGGAAGTCTCAATCTCAATTTTCGCTTTTTTTTATATATAAATTTCAATTTGAGTTTTAAAAAAATTAAGAATAATGCACCCAAACTTACAAATTGACATATTTCTTGCTAAAACCTAAGGCATCGTTTGGCTGAGAATAATCTTATTCTGGAATATGTATCTCATGCCTAGTAAAGGGATACTAGGATTTTTAAATATCGTGATAATTTATTATTTTGTATGGTGAATAATTTAGTATGAGAATGAATATCTATTTTATTTGTCTATTTAGTAATGAACTTCATTTTAAGAAGAAATATGATTTTCCAAAGGTAAGTTTGACTCTAATAATAAAACAATTTTTTTGGGAAGGACTTTAAATTTAATTTTTTCATTTAAAAAATACCCAAATAAGTTGGGGACGGGATTACCACCATTGATGGTCAATTTAAAGATTTCCACAATCATTGGGAATTTGATTCTAATAGTAATCTTATTCTCGATGTGAATTCTCGATCCATCAACTACCCAACCATTGTAATCTCTCAATTTAGAAATGGAAATGGTAAGATTATCACTATTCAAACGGGGTCTAAATGTTATAAAATATCACAATTTAATGAAAAATATTAACTTATAATTCTGACCTCGCACCACATGGTATTGTTGCTCCTACCAATAATCTAGTGTTAGAAAATACTTTATAATAAATCAAACATTGATCACTTAACATTTAAATTTAATTTTTTTTATCTTTAATCACACAATTTTAAATTAGATGAACAAAAATAAAATAAAAAAGAGATAGGGGGAGGGGGAGAGGGGTGTGTTTGTTAACCCAAATTCAGCATTTAAAATGAATATATAGATTAGGAGTGTTGAAAAGAAGACTATATATTCTCCTTGTCGATTTTTTTTTCCCTTTCTCTTGTCTTCTGTAACAAAAATATACTTATATAATTATAATTACACACGCAAACGCACGCACTGCGCACACATACTTACACACAGACATATGCATTGCACACACACATAATTACACACACGTATATTGGTAATGAAATCTAATTTATTATATATTTTTAATATTATTTGATTATTTATTAGTTATTGTTCTTTTTTTTTATCAAATATTATTGTTTACTTATTATGTTATTCAATTTGTTATTGTTCAATTATTGTGTTATTAAGATATTATTTATTTATTTTTATGATTTATGTTATGACATATTTTATAAATATTTTCAAATTAAAGAGTGAAAAAAAAAGATAAAACTGAAAATTAATTTATTTTCAAACGTCAGTTATCTGTAATTATCAAACAGTTTAGTTCAATTCAATACTGAAATTTCAGTGAATACCAAATAATCCATAAATTCAGCATTCAACTTTTAGTTTTTAAACTTCAGGTTTAATTTTATGAAACATCATGGTATGAATTTTGTGTTATTGAATCAATGTTAATCGCTGTGTATTTGTAAGTTGAGAGTTTAAAATTAATATTAAATAGATGGTGAATAAAGGAAGGCCGCTCTTTAGATTCCACTTGACAGTGTCTCTCTACCGTTCCGAACTAAAAGACCACACTGCAGATATGGCGGATTTGACGACTCTCTGATCCGCACAACACACAAAACAATCTCAAAAATCCAAAAACCCTTGTCCCAAAATTCTCAATTCAGGGTCTCTAATGGCGTCCCATCGATTAATTGATCTCTCCGTGCTTTCTTGCCTTCTTTTCTTTGCCTCGTTGTGTCTCATTTCTTCAACTTCAACGGTCTTCTCTGTTGATCTCCCTCTCAACTCTTCCGATAAAGTCTCTCTGGGACTATACTACGAGAGCCTTTGCCCTTACAGTGCCAATTTCGTCGTTAATTATCTGGCAAAAATCTTCGTTGATGGACTTATTGACATCGTGGATCTCAATCTTGTCCCTTGGGGCAATGCCAAGCTCACGGGCAACAGCACCTTCGCTTGCCAGGTCCTCTGCAATTCTTTTCACTTCATCTTTTAACCCTCTATTCCTGGGAAAAACATTCGGTTTTTACCGTTGACCCATATAATTTTTCTTAGGCTATATATATATATATATGTGTGTGTGTGTGTGTGTGATCTTGACTGAAGGTCTTAAGCTGATGGATTTTTTCTGTATTGTTGTAGCATGGTCCATGGGAATGTTTGCTGAACACTGTGGAAGCATGTGCAATCAGCGCCTGGCCTGATGTGGTAAGTTTCACTTTTAATTTCTACACGTGAAAAGTTCGGGTAATAAAATGACTGTTGGGTAATGAGAGCAATGGCAGTGTATGGTTGTTGATTCTTCTGCCTGCATCCTTGTAGATAGATAAACTTTTATAGAGATATCTTTCGTTTTTTCTTTTCGGGAAGGTCAGTGTACCTACATATACTCAACGTCTAAGCAATTATGATTATCATTTGGATTGGTTTTAGATTTTCACATAGAAAGAAAAAATGTCCTTTTTTTTTTCTCTTGGTGTAATTTACCTCGCAATGAAGATCAATTACGATTTTCCTTTGAATTATCCACCTCCCCTCATAGCTTTGTTATATGTTGAATGCAGAATGGTCACTTTACTTTTGTCTATTGCGTTGAATCGCTGGTGTATGAGGGCAAGTATACCCAGTGGGAAACATGCTTTGAGAAACTGGGTTTGGATCCAAAGCCTGTTGCTGATTGCTATAGTAACGGACAGGGGAAGGAGGTTAGATTTCTTGGTTGCCATCTTCTCGCCTTAAATTAATTCCTCGATTTGTAAATTAGTATGTAAGAACCACTCTTCTTAAATATGAGCACGGGTCTAAATTGATTCTGGTTTCCTCCTATCGAGTATCAATGTCTGTTGAACTGCAGAAAAATGTTATATCCATAGTCTATCTATCTGTCAAACAATAGACATGCACGAATATCATAGATTTCCTGCAGCATTTCAGTTTATGGTGTTCATTTCCTGTCAACAGAGATGGTTTTCTAAATTGGTAAGACATTCAAAAACAACTTATGCAGCAAATTCATTATCTAGCAAAAAAAATTGTCTTCGATGTAAGCATGCATTGGTTATTTTCAAAATGAAGGATTTGACAGCCCGGTTGGAGTCTCTTAAATTCAAATTAATCAGGAAAAGATGTGCTGCGGTTGAGTTTCTGCTAGCAAATTTCTTCATGGTTCTTTTGTCTTCATCCAACCCTAGCAACTGACAGATATTTTTCTCTCTTTCCTATCAGTTGTCAATAACTGTAAGGGGAATTCTTTCCCTCCACGGAAGGATTCTGGCTGACCTGGGTGACCACCCAGTAGCCTTTACCTCTCATCCCACATCGGGAGAGGTAAGGGCTATTTGGCAGGGGGGAGACGACTCTCTCCCGACGTGGGACGAGAGGTAAAGGCTACTGGGTGGTCACCCAGGTCAGCCAGAATCCTTCCGTGGAGGGGAAGAATTCCCCTTACAATAACCATATCCTCTAGTACTGGCAACTGATTGTAGGTAGAATGACTATTAAGAAAAGTTGGGCTAAAAGATGTGTCACTGATGTCGAAATTTTTTGTTGTATTTCATTCTTTGTCCTGTCAAGACCAGAAAAGTTAGCTGAAAAATCAAGGGGATAGTCACCAAAGGAAGAAAGTGCATAAGAATCTTATTGAATGCTTCGAGAAATTGACTGAAAATATTGCTAAGTTGATTGCTTATATATCCTTGCAGGTTTTTATTCAAGGTGATTGACCTGTGTAGTGTTCTGTTATTATTGGAAAGTATAGATGATAACCCGGGAAAAAATATTAGGATGCCCAAACAACAATTAATACTACATTGCTGCTTAAATTACAGCATAATTGAACTTCAGAGCCAGTAGGACTGCATAAATATAAATAGTATACAACTGACATTTGGTGTTTGATTGTGGTGTTTGATGATCCCGCCAATAAGGGGAATTGCAACTTTCCCCCATCTTAGCTTGTTGGCTCATACTTCAGTGTGGATGCCTCCTTATTGAACTTTCTTACTCTCTCAAATTTGATCATTTACTTCAATTTTTCATTCTTTTTCCTTTCTTTTTGTCATATATATATTTTTTTATCCGTGCAAACTTTCCTCATCTTACATTTTTCTGGTTGATTAATATTTTGGAACTTGATGCCAGCTTGAACTACAATATGCAGCAGAAACAAATGCCCTTGAACCTCCCCATACATATGTGCCATGGGTAGTTGTGGATGGACAGCCACTTTATGAAGTTAGTTTCTTCGACTCTGTCACCATATTGTGGACGTTTTTGTACTTTCACTGTTTGTGTCGATTGGACCATAGACTAGAAGGCAGTGCTTTTTTCTAAAGCAACAAATTCTTCTTATTTTCTGTGAATTTCTTGGCAAACAATTAATAACTTTATCCTAAGTACATGGGGCTCATTGATTCTTAGTACCATAAATTTTATCCGGAGGATGAATCCAAAAAGAAATATTATTGGTACTACCTCCTATTTTTATGAACCAAATGAATCGTTTTAACCTAGGATCAAAAGAAAATGGATACAGTAGATCTCTTCAGGAAATGTTATTACTTCTCTTCTTGCAGGATTATGAGGACTTTATAAGATACATATGTAAGGCGTACTCAGGCACTGCCATACCCCAAACGTGCAGCAACTTATCCCTCAACAGCATTCGCAAGGGAAAAGTAAGCTTTATCAAGCCAGTCTGCTATTCAGACGATACAACCGAGTCTATAAGATCAGGCATAAAATCGTGGAAGCGCTAAGTTAAAATGGCAGCTTCAATTTAAATTTCCAGTATTCCTGTTTAGTTTTCTGTATTATTGATATGTTCTATGTAGATGTAGTAGGGGAAACTTCAATTGGCTTTTCGATATGTGCACTTTGTAGTAAAGTCAATGAATGAACTATATGTTTGTTTTGTTGATAATGAATGTGGTGCTATTTATTAGTTGGATTGAACCTGGCTTGATTGATTTAGAAGTGAACTTGTATGGTATAAATGCATTGCTGCTAATCTGTTGATATTTATGGCATCTATATATATTTGCACATATAAAAAAAATGTTGAGGATAATTAAATTTTTTCTTCCATGGAATACCAATCGGGAAAAAAAAAACATTTTTTCAGTCATCGATCAGAAATGTATGTGGTACAAGGGGTGGAGCCAAAAATATCTATGCGGGATCTATGTGGGGGGATAAAATATAACTGAAAATAGTTCACTAATTGATACAATCCACAATGCCAAAAAATTAAGACTCCAGACATAATTGTTGTGACATAATAAATTCAATTTTTATTTAATAGAAACAAAATTTGAACAAAAAGATACAAAATAATTTTTTTAGTTCATTTTAACTAAATTATATGTTTCAATAAAATACAACGTTATTTAAAATCTCTAAAATTTTGTATATTAATGAAATATAAATTAATTTTTCACTAATTTACTATCAATTCACACAATCACAAGTCTGCAGTAAAATTATTTTTTATTTAGTTGCAAAATTTAGTTAAGATCATTATCAATTTTATAGATAAATTCTCAATCTGAAATCTCTTGAAATATTTTTGGGTTACAACTTTTTGTCTTTTGTATCGTATTTTATTATATTAATGACTATTATTATTAAAAAATTGATAAATCAAAATCAAAAATTATTCTTAAAAAATAACAAATATTGTGTTAAATAAAGAAAAATGTTATTTTTTAGTCAACATACCAATATATTAGAATACTTACATCTGATTTACTCAATTTAAAAGTAAAACATTTATTTTAGAGGGTTAGTGGACCACTAATTTATTAAAAAAAAAGACAAACAATTGTTGAAATGTTAAAAAATTTAGGGGACAAATAGAGTGTGTTTAATAATTTTTTAGGTCCTCATAAAAATATCCTAAAGTTTGGGGAAGGGGTGCCTACCATGGTCCCCTGTGGTACATTTTTAAGGCCGGATAGCCCTGCATATAAGAGTGTTCAAATTTTTGATTAGTCACAACTTTCAATCCTATCTAACCTTATTGAATGACAAATTGAAAAAATTAGGTAGGAATGCGAATGAGTTTTTAGTCATCCGATTAAAGCGAGTAGGAATGTGGAATAACCATTAATTTCCGTTTTTCTATTTTATATATATATATATATATATATATATATATATATATTCCCTAACCACGTGGTTTTAACTTAAAATAATTGTGATAGATTTATGTTTATATTTTCTTGTGTTTTATTGTAATTGTTGTTAATTTTAATGTTATTGGTTTATTGTATTATTAAATTGATGTATGTTATTTAATTAAATTGTTAAAATGATTCAAAAATTAATAATTAAAAAAGTGTTCACCCGATTTCTTACCTGATTAATTTAGCTAAAAATCGGATAAGAATACCATATTTGATCGGGTATAATAGCAAAAAAAAAATCTTCAATAAAATATCAAATAAGAAGACGAAAGATCGTGACTTTTACAAGGAAAGGTAGGATAAACCCACTTACCTTCATTGTTCATACCCTCCGTGTCATGAGATACTCGACGTCACAGCACTAGAGTATGTCCTGGAGGTGAGACCCTAAACAACCACCAAGGATATCTTTGAATGAGAATAACAAATCCATTAGGTCAATACTTAAATTTATCAATAAGCAGTTCAGCAATGTCGATATGTCCGAGTGGTTAAGGAGACAGACTCGAAATCTGTTGGGCTTTGCCTGCGCAGGTTCGAATCCTGCTGTCGACGGTTTTGCTCTTCCTATATTTTGTATCCAATTCAACAGATCAAATCAAACTAAAATCGTCTCAGCATCAGGACCCTCCATGGAGAAAATCTCTCTCTCTCTCTCTCAAAACCTCCCAAAAGCAGATCTAAATAGAGGGTCGTACACCTTTGTGATTTAATAAGCCCTAATTCAATTCGAATCGAAGAATTGAAATCAAATCAACTCCAGCCGGTATGATTAGGGCTGTTAAAGAGACATGAATCATGTGACTTTGTCCAATCCCTTGTTCTGCTCATATTAGACCAACAAGTTGAAGACTACAAGAAGACATTTACAACGACACTCTGTTCATTGATCATAACATTTATAGCTTCTTGTTGATTCACTTTTACCGCATTTTAGTGAAGAGTTCGTTTGATTGCTCTGAATATTTGTTGATTTACTTGGAGTTTTGAAAATGGATTAGGCCACTAGGATGATGTTTCTTATACGTATCCCGTCATGGCTTTGCTGACTGGGAAAATATTTTGTTGCTTGTCGGTATGGTGAGTTAACTATATGTTTTGGTTGTCAATTTCTAATTGTTCCTGAAATTCAAGATGGCGGAAAGAATACATTAAGAGTTTAGTGGAATCAAATAAGTTCGCTGTGCAATTTTCTATTTAGGTTCATTTTGTAATTTTCTATTTAGGTTCACTGTGTAATTTTATTTTACTATACAATTTTATTGTTAGTCATTCACCGTCTTTAAGCTTATTGTCATATTCACCGTCTTTAAGTTCACTGTATAGTTTTCTGTTTAAGTTCAATGTTTTTGAGTTAATTGTCTTTTAATTAATAATTTTTTAAAGGTTTAAATTATACTTCAAAATAATTTAAACTACAAATTAAAAATTTATAATCAATTATAAAACATTGTATTTTTTTTTAATCTTTTATAAAATATTGTATTTGATTAGTGAATTTCTCTACCTCAGTGTTATAGTTGATTCCCTGATTCTTGGTAGTGAAACTTAAGATCAACGATAAAATTTTTATTTTGTTGTTTCTTGTAGTTTTTTGTTTGTGAAAATTTTGGATACTGAATTAGGAATTTCATTTTATTGAAGTTCACTGTTTGCGAAAATTTTTTAAACTAAGAGTTTCATTCTATTGAAGTTCATTGATTATGTTTTTTTCAACATTTTTTGAGTTCACTGTTTATGTATTTCTTAATATTTTTTTGAGTTTGCTGTTGTTTATATTTTTCTTAATATTTTTTTGAGTTCTCTATTTTTGATATATATTTCTCAAATCAAAATTTTAATAATTTAGTCGTTTATTGTTTGAAAAATTTATGTATAGTGAACTAAAAGTTTCATTCTATTAAAGTTCATTATTTATGATATATATTTCTTAATTCAAATTTTCAATACTTTTGTAGTTCACTGTTTGTGAAAATTTTGTGAACTATGAATTTTATTATATTAAAATTCACTGTTTTTACATTTTTTAATATATTTTAGTTTATTGGTTTTTCACTATTTTGAGTGATGGTAATGGTGGTGGCGGTGGTGGGTGGTGTTGCGCAGTGGTGGCAGTTGTTCACTATTTTTAGTTTATTGTATTTGAATACACAGTGAATTAGGAGTTTCATTCTATTAAAGTTCACTATTTTTAAAAATTTTGTGAAATATAAATTTTATTATATTTAAAGTTCACTATTTTTGGAGTTCGTTGTTTATGTTTATTCATTTTTTTTTGATTTTTTTTTTTTGTTTTTGATATAAGTTTTTTAATTAAAATTTTTTATATTTTTGTAGTTCATTGTTTGTGACAATTTTATGAACTAAGAGTTTGAATGTTTGAATAAATTAAAGTTTATTGTTTGTGAAAATTTTCTAAAATAAGAGTTTCATTTAATATAATATTTATGTTTTTTGTAATCTTTTTGAGACTATTAGTATTTCATTGCTTTGGGTAGTGAGTGATGGTGGTGGTGGGTGGCAGTGGGCGGCGAAGGTGTGTGGTTGTGGCGGCGATGGGTGGTGGTGGTAGTGGGCAATGGACGACGAAGGTGTGTGGTTATGGTGGCGGTGGGTGTGGGTGTTTGTGTTGGTGTTGGTGGTGGCAGTGGGTGGCGGTGGGTAATAGTGGTGAGTGGTAGGTGGCAAGTGCGACGACGGGTGGTGGTGGGCGACGAAGGTGTGTGGTTGTGGCAACGATGGGTGTTGGTGTTAGTGGTGGTGATGGTAATGAGTGGTGACAGATAGTGTTAGGCGACGGTGGTTTTGGTGGTGTGGGTGGTGGGCAATATTGGAGGTGGGCGACAGCGGGTAATGTTTGTGGTGGCAATGGCGAGTAATTGTGGTGGATTGTCGTTGTGGACGACAATGGTTGTGGTGGGTGATGGTGGTGGCTAATAGTGGTGGGTGGTGGTGGTGGTGGGCAGCGATGGTGTGTGGTTGGTAGTGGTGTTGGTTTGTGATGGTGTCAGTGGGGTGGCGATGGTGGTGGCCGTTGGTAATGATGGGTGGTGGTGGTGGGTGTTGGGTGGCAGTGGTTGGTGGTAATGGGCAATGGTGTTTGTCGGCGATGGTGGTGGTGGTGGTTTTTGGCGGCGGTGGGTGGTGGATGATAGTAATAGTGGACAGTGGTGGTGGAGAGCAGTGGTTGGTTGTGGTGGTAGGTGTTGGTGGCAATTATTGCGATGGTGGGCGACAATTGTGGCGGTGGATGATGGTGGTTAGCGGCGATGGTGGTGGTGGTGGTGGTGGCGGCAATGATGGTGGTTTATGATGATCGTGGCGATGGTGGTGGGCAGTGAGCGGTGGTGGTGGCGGGCAGTGAGCGGTGGTGGTGGCAACGGTGGGATGGTGATAATAGTAATAAATAAAAGAATGAGATAATGTTGGTGATTTTTAAATAACATCCTTCATTAATGGTTTTTTGTCAAGAGCTGATTTTATGGACCTTTTGCATTAAAAGTGTTTAGGGTGAACCTTTTGCCTTAAAAATCCATTACTTTGTACCTGTCTCCAAATCTTGTTTTGGTTGTTGTTGTTGGTATCTTTTCATTAATGTTGCACAAGGACGACATTGTTTTGAAGGAAAGAGTTCTAATTAGTTGGGCTATTCTCTGGCCTGCTCTGAAGTTGAACTATATTGAAACTATTTGTACGGCTGTACCTCCAAGTTTTATAACTTTTGTGGTTTTATAACTGTAAGTACTGAACATCATATTACATTCGCACCATTTCAAATAGGAAAGAAATATTTGGTATAACCGTTA